ACTTTTGACCATTCACGACTAGTGTAAGGTGTATCGGTCAGGAAATATGGTTTCCCGGCGGGACATAAACAGTCAACAAGTGATTGTTTGTGTACCTGTCCTGAGCCAGCATAGCTCCGCCTCCGCCATGTTTGTCTTGTGTATAATGCACACCTGTACACGACATGCAGTACCAGCCGCTCAGGTCACCCTCAAATCCAGGGTTAGTCACCATCTCAGAACCTGAAACGGTCTGTTTCCAAAAGCAGTTGCAAATTTCAGCTTAATCAATCGATGACAAGAAATGGAGGATGTTATTATGCACTTCCCAGCTTCCTGAATCCCCCCGATGTGGACCTGTGGCTCCCGGCTAGATAATCAGATCTCCAATTTTACCACATGTCCTGAGTCTGACCTTTTGATCGTCTGTAATTCTGCTTGTAATGGAAAGCTGATAGCAAGCCATATACGATATTTTTAAAATTGCAAACCTTAAAATCCTATAGCATATGCTATGGCTGTTCTTAAAATTCCAAACTCAAAACTATCAGGCTTGTATAAACACTGAAAAACGTTCATATTGCAAGATTAAAATTGGCTTGAAAACGTCGATCATCGTACGTGCAGGCTTTCCACCAGGCTCAGCTGTCCAGATGCCAGCGTCAGCGATGATCCGTCTACAAGGATGTCAATGCTAACAGGAGGACCCTCAAGGTACAGGCGCATCGCCGTCACTTCCTTGTCAAAGGCTAGGTGGAGTATAGGATGTTGAAATGTTGGTGTCAGTTAAAGAAGCCCAAATGATTACTTCTACAACACTGTGGGTGATCATAACATTCATTCAAAAGTGTATAAGAAGATTCTTTATCTAACATATTGTGCATTGCTTTCACGTTAACAAGTATGATTTTTTTAAAATTTGTTCTGTACACGTCGCTCATTCGGCAACAGGTTAACTGCAATTCTTTAATCTGATGTACGTACATGGTACAGTCCAGCTGGTGGTGATCCTCTGCCATCCCTGAGTCTGACTGATGTGGTCGGTGTGCTTGATCGGCCGATAGTTGAATTCACCATCTACGTATAAAAGCAAAATCTTAGTTGCGACTTACTTTGAAATTTTTCTATATGATTATGTCAACATATTGATAAATCAAGATATGAAAGTTTCGTAAACCATTGACGTACCAGAGAAGGTAGTTGCCAGGTTGATCTTGACGGGGACGTGGGCCGCTCCTCCTGACAACAGTTTGACGAATAGTTGGAACTCGTACGTCTGGCCGGGGAGGACGCCACGACCGTAAGGTAGAACATAGGACGGACCGGCCCATACTGCTGTCCTGGTGTAGGGAAGAATGTTTCGAAATTAGTTGGGTCAATAATCATGGAAGCTGATCTGTATTGGTAGTTAGCATCACAGATGGCTGTTCATGTATTTAGTCAAGGTAATCTTGTGTTGTGAAGTCTAATTGATGTGTTTGGCTGACGTTGTGCAGTGTATTTCATTGAGAAAGGCAAGGTGCGTACGTATGGGAAACAAAGCTGCTGTATTTACAAACTGATTGTCTACATATGCCATGCTTATCTAACCACTACATGCATTAAATAGTGCCAAAATAGCTCGACAATATGCTCCTCTCTAAAAGTTAAAAGTAGTCTTGTTGTTTACAACTTTGCGTATACAAATGGAGGCCTCAACTGATGACCGGGTCAACAACAAAATCTGTCCGAAATATCCAAATATTAAATGCCAAACAGTCAAATGATTCTTCGCTCTAATTTTGATTGCAATATGATCATTATATAACCTTCTATAGTCAGTATGACTTAAGGTTTGGTCCGGTATGAATCTGTGAAAGGTTTGTAGAATGAGAAATTTGCGTTGTTTGTTGTTGCTTTATGCCTGTATTCTGTACGATTCATGATGTTGCCACCCATTCTTGCATGCAGCTACTCAGGAGTAACAGCCAGTAAGACCCACCTCCCACGCGCCAACATGCTGGTAGTCCCCTCCACCTTATCGTCCGAGTTTTGCTCACCGGCACACCCAGAACAGTACCAGTTATCGGACCCTAACGGCCCCTCGAAGCCAGCATTGCGGAATATTTCCTGTGCTGCCCCCACGTTCTGAAGCCTGCAGCAAAGAAACAAAGCTCCACACACGACCACACGGAACATGGTGTGAACGGAGGCAATTTCACTAGCAGCAGGTCACCACAATGTTTTTCAGATCGCTGTAGCTTCGTTCGCGTGTATTTATAATCCAAACTGGCAAATAGTAAAAGCAATATCAGCTAAATATTGCAGTATTTATCTCGACTCAGTAAATAGGTACTTCCTATCGTACTGATAAATGAAACCTGTTGCCTACCTTTCACTTACATAACTGTTGGATCAGCATAACCAAACATGGTACATATAACGTTATTACGTGCAGCTTGCCCCAAACGTGAGTCAACACCACTTTGGTCACAGTTAAATGAAAACTATGTTTCACGTACAGGATGTTGAAAAATTATTCTTTATACAAGGTGTCAGTGGTTATCTAATGAGCAAAATAACAAGATGGAAAGAGCTACTTACA